GTGTCGCTTCGCGTTGAATTTTCGTCGATGTTAAGCCTAACAAAGACTATTGTATCGTTAAAAATTATTTTTTTATTTTGTACAAACAAAATAAATATATTGAAAAATATAAAAACAATAAAAAATTATACTTCAGATGTTAATTTAGTATCATAAATGTAAAATATTTGAGTAGCCCAAGACATAGCCAAAGATTGAAGCACCACAGCACTGGCGAAAATTTAAATTTGCCGACTGGAATTCTTTCGGATGATTGACGTTTCGGATGATTGACTTTTGGAAAATCGACACTCTATTGTAATATATAATTTCAATTATTATTAAAATAAGTTAAACTTCCAGGTGAAAAAATTTCTCATACTGGACAGCAGTTACCTTGGCATATAAGCTCATTGCTTATAGTTAATATTGCTGTATTAATATTGTTATAATAATATTGCTTAAATTTTTGTGATGAGCACACAAGTTTGAAGCAAGAAGAAACAATCAATAAGTTTACATTTATTTTATGACCAGTGAACTTTCATATTTAATATTTTTTAATTAACAAAACAAAAAATATATTATTAAAACTTTTAATTGCATAAGAAAATTTTAAAATGAAATGTTATTTCATTTTAAAATTTTCTTAAATTTAACTTTATTTATTGCTTTTCATCCATATAAAATAAATGAAAAGCAATAAATAAAGTTAAATTTAAGATATTATTTGGTAATAAATACCAAATAATATCTTCATAAAAATTATTCTTACATTATACAGATAATGATAATTCCATACTATTAATAAATACAGTTTTTGGACAAACACTTTAAGTTACTGTCATTATTCAAAATTTTAAACAAGGTGACTAGGAATTTTAATTACTACAAAGGATAAAATGAACTCATTTGTAGTGATGCAAACAATGTCACTTGAGTTTTTTTACTACTCTTATTGATTATTGTTGCCATGATGTACTGTTAACATAAAACTATGAATAAGCTTAATTCTAACTGGATCCATCATGTAATACATAAGATTTCTGTGTAAAGAAAAAAATTTCAAACACCATTGTCAGAAGTTTCGGGTTTTGCATAGACTTATAAACTTGAAAGATACCACTTATAAAACAATTTCACACAATTTTATTGAGAAAATAAACAGTGTGTGAGGTTTCTTCATATGAAGCACCTCAAAATAATTTTTTCTATTTTTAATATTTTAATGTGTTTCAATCTGAACTCTCTTTGTTGTGCTCACAATGTGTAGTCAGCATTCAAATTCCTAGGAAGAAGGCAGATACCTCCAGAAAGGATTTTCTATGAGAATTTTCCTTTGGTAGATTGCCATCATGTCATATTGATGTACATGAAACAAACAAACAAATAAAATGAAGTTGAATTCAAACTGTATAAATTCTATAAAGAATGTTGTTACAGTTGTGATACTTTCACATATTTATCACTATTAATGTTTACCTAATAACAGATTTTTCAAACCTTGTAAAGATTAACTTATGAGAAATATAAATCATTTCTTTATAAAACTCAATAACATTATACAATCTGTAGAAATAATTATTTTAAATATATTTCAGCACTTCCTTC